TGTCCTTCTGTCCTAACTTGAAGTTGGCCTTTTCTGATTTCACGTGTTTTTTTAAATAGTAATCTTATGACGTGTCAAATTTTGACAATTCTTTTTCTCATTTTTGCCAAAGTTGTATAATTGTGTTTCCAAATTTCGGAATAAGTTTCTTTAAAATTCCAAATTCGAAAATTCAATTCACGAAGCTGAAGTACACAACGTTTACCAACAAAATTTTTTTAAAAGTTGTATATTGATTCAAAAATTGTATACAAATACAAAAAATTTATGATGAGAAAAAAGATGCGCCAGGAAATTTCGTACAAGATAGTAATTTGAAAAAAATTTATTTTTAAGGTACCAGAGGCCAACGAAAATCTATTAAATATTAATTATAAAAACACAGGCCTCGAATCCACTTAATGACACAAAAAGTCGTTTTAGTCGATTTATATTCCAAAAAAAAGTGGATTTGTTTTTTATTTCAACAAAAATATTTTACAGATTTTTAAATAAAAATTTTTTTTTAATAATAATCTTTTTCGAAGGGTTAAAGTTGAAATTTTTAGAAATAATTAAATTTCAAAAGATATTAATTAATATATAAATTAATATAATATAAATTAATTGAAACTTTAAGTGATTTTTAATTAAAATTTTAGATGATTTTACTAAAAATTTATTAGAAAATGCGGACAAAATACAATAATTTGAAAATCATTTTTAATTGAAAAATGGTTTCAGATAGTTGAGTTTTCAAAGAATATTATTAAAATAGTTAAAAATAATTGAATTTCCTTAGAGTTATAATTGAAATTATTAAATTTAAAAAAAAAAATTTTCGATGGAAAATTTTAGATGCTTTTAAATTCAAATTATTGAAAATTCAATTAATTTTGAATTCAAATTTTTGAGAATAATGAAATTTTATTTGATTTTAAATTTGGAAAATAATTGAATTTCAGTTCATTTTGAATTGAAAATTTTGTGAAATAATTGAATTTTAATTGAAATTTTGGATAATAATTTAATTTAAGTTCATTTTTTATTGAAAATTGGAATAATTAATTTTGCATAGAAATTTTAGAAAATAATTGAATTTTATTTCATTTTAAATTGAAAACTTGGTAAATAATTAAATTTTAAATTGAAAATTTTGAATAATTATTGAATTTGTGATGTATTTAATTAAAATTATTAAAAATAATTAATTTAGTGAATAATCATTTTAGTTCAAAGTTTGTTAAATAATTGAATTGAAGAAGATCTGAAGAAGATCGATAAGTCGATAAAAGTCGTATTTTTGAAAAAAGTCAGAAAAAGTCGTATTTTTGAAAAAAGTCAGAAAAAGTCGTATAATCCGAGGCCTGTAAACATATAATTTTCATTATTATCATTTAATATGTAATAATATTCTAATAAATTAAATTATTATTGATAATATTAATCTTTAATTTCTTTATAACAAACAATTAAATACTAAATTTGGCGTGCTTGCGCGCGTTTAATTTTGCTAGTTGTATTTTAAGTGTTTATCATGATGAGGGAGCTAAATGGTCATGAAATGAACAACTTTTTAACTTGTTTAATTATTTTGACTTTTTATATTTCAGACTGAAGGACAGGAAGGAGGATGCAGAGAAAGCATGGCCCCTGCATAGTTCCCCGGTCTCCCCACATAGAAGAGGGGCCACTGGGGGACTGGTCCAGAAGAGGCGATGCTGCCATCGCTCCGTCGAGGGAATCCGCGATAGGCAAGTGGAATAGTTTTCTACGAACGTAGCGACACAATCTGAAATGTTTAATTTTTCAAATATACCTTCTACTTTAGAAATTATTGAGATCTAATTATTAACCAAAAATAGCAAAATATTATTTGAAATATCATATATTAACAGTTATATATAAAATTTTTTTATCAAATATAATTTTTGAAATATTAGAAGTTTTATACATTAACCCATATTAACGCCCATGCTTAGACACATGGAAATATCTGCAAAATCAAAATTGGAAAGAGGACTGCGGTACAAAAAATGACTTTTGACGTTAAAAAATGTTTTAAAAAATAATTTGTTTAAACAAATTGTTATAAACAAATTAACAAAATTGATGAATTTTTAAAAACTAACAGCGCCATTTGATTCTACGGGCAAAATTACTAAAAGAACAAGTATTACTTTTTCAAAATTTTCACGCCATTTGTTATAAATAATTTATAAACAAAAAATGCACTGTGGTGCACCCATCAGAGCCTATGCTTAGACACATTGAAATATCTGCAAAATCAAAATTGGAAAGAGGACTGCGGTCCAAACAATGACTTTTGACGTTAAAAATTTTTTTAAAAATAATTTGTTTAAATAAATTGTTATAAACAAATTAACAACATTGGTGAATTTTTAAAAACAAACAGCGCCATTCGATTCTACGGGACAAATTACTAAAGGAACATGTATGACTTTTTCAAAATTTTCAATCAATTTATTATAAATAATTTATAAACCATAAGTGCACTATGATGCACCCATCTGAGCCCATGATTAGACACATGGAAATATCTGCAAAATGAAAATTGGAAACAGGACTGCGGTTCAAACAATGACTTTTGACGTTAAAAATTGTTCAAAAAATAATTTGTTTAAACAAATTACTTTTTGAACAATTTTTAACATTTAATTTTTTATTATAATTTTTACAACATTTAATAAAAAATTAATAACTCAACAACTGTTTGCAATAATCGTTAGTTGTTATTATTAAAAATATCGAATTTTTAGGTTTACAATTTTGCAATTTTATATTCATTGAAAAGAGGGCAATTGTTTTATATAATCAGTAAAAGTTTAATTAATTTATTGCAAACAGTTGTTGAGTTATTAATTTTTCTTTTAAATGTTGTAAAATTTTGTTAATGTAAAAAAAAACTAACAAAAATTTAAATTTTCAAAAAAAGGTTAAAAGTGTTTTTTTCTTTTATTGTAAACTACAGATTTTCATAAAAGTTTTAACATTTTAGAAAATCAATTAAAATTTGTTGACACGATTGACCTGGACTTACTCTTTTTTATTTAAATTAAATTAATTCAATTTAAATAATTATTACATTCATCCCTATTTGATTGCATTTTTGAGCTTTATGCTCAGATGACGGATAAGTTCCGGGACGTAATCCCTAGTGTAGGTCTGTTTGCACCTGGGTATTAAGTGTGTACAATTCGTCAGGTATTTGCGCCCTTTAGAGATGCTTTGAGAGGTATTCTATACAATTGCCAGCTCTGGAAAGTAGATTTTATAGTTGGGATATAGTAAATATTAGACAACTATTGAATGATATTAGATTTTGATTCAAAAACATTCCTGAAACATTTTCAGAAAGTACCAACAAATTTGTTTAAACACTGTTTAAAGACGTCTTGTATTTTATTCTACAAATATTTTTGCAAAATATGACGTTATTAAGTGATTTGTGTAGACATATAGGGGAGCGTGGGGCGAAGCGGCGCAGTCAACATTTCTCAAAAACAATAACATTTAATTGTTCATGACGTATGTCAACAGTTACACCACTTTAATTTATATTTTTGGTGGCATAACATTTAGGATTTCATTAACTCATAGACGCTTCAGGATAAATAACTTGTTTTCAACCTCTGGAAATTCAGTTTTTTGTTTTCATAAAATGGAAATTTTTTCTATAAATTTTTTGCATACTTATCTTAAACATACGTATTTTTTAAAGTTAATATCCTTTACTTTTGTAAACAAAAAACAATTGTGAGATTTTCCGCTTAGGAATTAAGTTATAATTTTTAAAATAAAAAATCGATTAAAAACTTTGATAAATAAAGTGATAAACTACTAACTTTTTTCAGGTTCAGACAAAATTTATGACATATCACGGTGCGCCAGAAAGAGGTTTAAATAAAAATGAATTGGCACTTAAAAATTCCTTTTGATTATGGTTCTAAGATGAATAAAAAACTTTTCTCAATAGGTTTTAAAATCAGCTTACGTGCCCAATTTAAAACAAATTGAGTTTTAAATATTTGAAAATAGTATTTTATGAGGAACTAGAATTTATTTAATGTATACTTATATGCGTATAGATAATAGATGTTTTAGATTTGGGTTCATATAAATTTATTAACAATGAAGTTAGTTTCTTGTTTCGTTTTTATATTTATGCATTAAGAGTGTCGAACGGTATATGAAATTCTTTGGCGAGAAGAGAGCTTTAATTATCGCTCTGAACGTGAAATAGTATTGATTTTAAAATACTTTTTTCTCGAAACACGAACACTTTTAACAAAATCAGCCAAAATCCTCATCTTATAAATTTCCTAAATCCAAAAAACTGTACGAATCCATAGAAAAACATGGTTGCAAAACAAAAAGTAGAAAAGTAATCTAATAACAGCTGCGACTTTGTGCGCCCTGCATGCTGTTGCCATCTGACGGCGACAGGAGGTAATGTACCTGTCATTATATTACTTTTCGTTTTGCAATAGTGTTTTTGTATAGATTCGTATAATCTTTAGGATTTAAAAAGCGATAATTAAAGGTCTCCTCTTGCCAAAAAATTTCAGAGATCATTCGACTGTCTTAAATAAATTTTGTCACTCTTAAAATCGTTCTTTTAACATTATAATTTAATTTTTTAAAATCGGACACAAACACTACAGCAATATAATTATTTATATGTAAAATTGAAAATAAGTAATTATTTTATCATTTATTACAGTATTTATTAGATTAAATAAATTCTGATTCCCCATAAAACACTGTTTTTATATAAAAACTCAATTTTATTTAAATCGGGCACGTAAACTGATTTTAAAAACTATTGAGAAATGTCTTTTATTCATCTAAGAATCATAATCAAAAAGAATTTTTAAGTGACAATTCATTTTTTTTAAACCACCTTCTGGCGCACCGTGATATTTTTAATATTTAATTTAATTATAATACTTTACTGAATTTTTTATTTAATTTAATATTTAAAAGAAAAAACATTAACAAAAATTATTTACGTTTATTTAATTTTATTTTGATACAACTAACTTAAAATACAAAAAAAAGCGAGTGCGCCGCTTCGCAACAAGCTCCTTTACTTTCCAAAAATATTAAGGGAACATTTTTTCTATATGTAAAAATTGCAAATAAATTGGAGTCTTTTTTTCAGTTATACACACACATATATATATTCATTTGTTGAATAAACAAAAAAAATTATAATCAATAATTTAACAATACATTATACTTTCTGTAACAAAAACAAGAAATTATTAATAAAATCTTTAAAAATTTTCCAGTCATATAAGTAATAATTAAGTATAAATTTCTCTAAGAAATATCTTAAAACTTTCTCTTATTTAATCTTATTCTATTTTTATACTTTAGCTTTAAAAAAATATACAGTATAAAAAATTATATAACTTAAATTTTAATTAAAAAGTCTCCTAAAAAGAAATGTACACTTTCTACATAATTGTTTTTCTTAAGAACTATATTTATATCGTAGTAATGTTTGTTTACGACTAGTTTCAACATGTTCTAATAAAAAACAAATTAATTGTAAAATATTCTATTTTTAAATTATTATTTTGTATTTTTTTTTTGAAATGGAATAATTTACTTGTAATATTTCAAAATTGAAGAAAATATAAGGAGCTGTATTTATTATATTGATACATTTATATTTTTAAAAGCTCCTTGGCAAGTTTCGGTATATTAAATATCTTTTTGGTGAAAATGAGAATTAAATGTATATGTATATATCGAAATGGACGTCATGGTCTCACAGTTCATGGATACGGAAAAATAGATTCTTTTTTTATGTCCTTCTCAAGGATCGGAGGCAGGTATGAGCCTATATATATAAATCTTCGTATAGAGCATCACTTAATTTGTCAATGAAAATCTTCGCAAGTTTGTTTTGTAACTTTCCTTGCGTCAAAAAGGTTGTCAAGTAATTAGATCGAAATTTAATTCCTTCATATAAGTGGCTAATTCACTTCCCGTGAATTCTGTCTCATCGTAGTCTTGAAGGCTGGAATTACTTATAGTATTCCCACTGTCGATACTGGGATGACTGTTAATTTTTGGCGGTGCACTCGCAACTTCTGGCTTGATTTTTGGTTTCTTTGATGGCCTTGGTTGACTTCCAAATAAACTCTTTGTACCAAACCTTAGACGTCCTGCCAAAATTCCTAAAATATTACAATAGATTTATAATAATTAATGACGAATTATTGATATAAAAAAAAGATAAATGAAAATTTACCTAGAGTAATGGTTTGTAGTGGTCGATGATGAACTCGTAAAGTAGATTCATCGACATACACGGTTTCTGAATTGTTATTGCCTTCGTTGGAACCTTTTCCAATAGTTGTCATTACAGTGACTTGACTTGTATTTGAAGCTCTTGAGCCATTTCTCATTATTTCTGGATGAGATCCATTTATCTTTGAAATTACAACAATTTGTGAATTTTTTCGTTCAATTCCACTATTGCAGCATTTAATTGAATTTTTTCGTTGATCAAAAGTTGATAATTGTTGATTTTCCTCGCTGGCAGAAACTGATGCAGATTTATGGGAATCAACACGATGAAAAGTTGATCTTGGATGACGAGAAAGACTTGTATATGTACGATGTAAGGGACTTGATGTTTGTAGTCTGTTTCCGCAGTGTTTTGCCAGCATTGACTGAAAATAATAATAATTATTATTATTTATTTAAATTATATAAACATACAAGGTTTATTAAATTAAATTTTCTTTGTATTTTTCTAGAGTAGAGAATCTATAGGCGTGTAGGTAGGAATCTTTATGTTTCGACTCTTCAAGAAATTTTGTAGCCACATAGCGTGTGAAAATTTATATTAGAAATAATAAATAAAAAAATAACTTAACAAATATTAAAATTATATTGGAAATAAAAGAGTAAATTAACCAAAAATTAAAGATGTTGACAAAGAATTTAAGTAGATTCTGTAATGAAATTATTAATAATAATTTGACGCTCATTTTTCCTGTGTTCGACCAATTTCACCCCTATTGTGATTAAAATTAAATTTAAGAATGTCGAACGGTCTCTGAAATTCTTTGGCATTTAATTATCGCCCTTTAAAAATGGCACTGAATGTGAAAATGATAAACATTGATTTTAAAATACTTCTTTCTCGAAACAAATCGGACAAATCTATACAAAAACGCGATTGTAAAACGAAAAGTAGGAAGGTAATATAATGACAAGTTTATTACGTCCTGCTGCCCTCAGATGGCAGGAGCATGCTGGGAACACAATGTCGCAGCTGTCAATATATTAATTTCCTATACTTTTCGTTTTACAATCGCGTTTTTGTATAGATTTGCAAAATCTTTCGGATTTAAGAAATTTATAAGATAAGGATCCTTGGTATTTTGGCCGATTTTAAAAAAAGTGTCCGAGTTTCGAGAAAAAAGTACTTGAAAATCAATGTTTATCATTTTCACGTTCAGTGCCGTTTTTATAGGGCGATAATTAAATGCCAAAGAATTTCAGAGATCGTTCGACATTCTTAAAGACAAAATTTCTGATACATAAAATCATTTAACGTAAAATTAATTTGATATAAATCTTATATGACATAAATTTCATTAGACATAATTTTCATTTGATATTAAATTAAAATGACATAAATTGCATTTGACAGAAATTTCATTTGATATAAAATTCATTTGACATGAATGTGATTTAACATATAACTTAATTGGCATAAAATTCATTTGTAATAATACTCACTTTACATAATTTTAAATTAACATAATTATACATCGACATAAAATTTATTTGACATCATAGTCACTTGTCATAAAATTCATATAACATAAATTCCATTTGATATAAATTTTATTTTATATAAATTTCATTTGACATAAAGTTCATTTAATATATATCTTATTTGACATAAAACTTATTTGATATCAAAATTCATTTGACATAAAATTTATTTGTCATTAAAGTTGCTTCCTCTATCCTTTTCCTACACAAAGAAGCTTATATGTATGACAAGGATAGCCAATGCTACTTTTATGACAAATGAGTTTTATGTCAAATGAATTTTATATCAAATAAGTTTTATGTCAAATAAGATATATATTAAATGAACTTTATGTGAAATGAAATTTATATAAAATAAAATTTATATCAAATGAAATTTATGTCAAATAAGAATTATGTCAAATGAAATTTATGACAAGTGAATATTGTTTCAAATAAATTTTATGTCAATGTACAATTATGTTAATTTAAATTTAAGAGAAATGATATTTATGTTAAATGAAATTTGAGGTTTATACTAATACTGATAATTATGCTTAGTTTTAAGCGATTTTTTTTAAATTGTGCAAGAATTGAGTTAAATTAAGCTCTACACGGAGAGACCGCCGGTTAGAAAAATTACTAAAAAAATTTACAAGTAGCGGAAATAAGGTTACATTGTCAAATATTGCTGTAGACTATAGTAATTTCTATTCCAATTTGTGTGCAATTTTACTATAGTATACAGGTTTTATTAAGTATGCTGCTAATAGAATTTTCGATTTCCTACAGCAATATATGACAAAGTAACCTTATTTCCGCTACTTGTAAATCTTTTTAGTAATTTTTCCAACCGGCGGTCTCTCCGTCTAATTAATTACTAATTATTTAATTAACTTACTAATTAATTAGAGCTTAAATTAACTCAATTCTTGCAGATTCTAATTAAATTAATCATAATTTATCAGTGTTAATTACAAAAAAAAGTTATAGTCATTGTATAATAGAACAGATTTAATTTTGGGTTAATTTAACTTAATTTAAAACGTATTTGAACTATCTCGAATTTTTTTTATTAGAGTTGGTTAGCTACTGTCTTGTGGATAGTCTTTCTAATTCTACAACTCTTGTTCAGCGATATCCCCCTTATATTCTTTGAGACTCGTGCAATAGTGGGGATCCGCGAACGTTATTGGCTGTCCTTAAATAAGTGGGAGTAGTTCTCTCCACTTTGTGCGCAGTAGCGTTGCGTATTAAATACCCGCCCACTTGACTAGCTTCCCAAATGCGTACGTTTCTATGTCTCATAGGGGGAAAATTTGATATAATTTAAATAAAATTTAAATAGTAAACTATTATAAAATATTAAAATTTTTCTTTGTTTACAATTTGTAAATTCAATCGCGTATTTTTAAATTACAGTTTTTTTGCTCGAAAATTAAAAAAAAATTAAGACCAAATTTATTTTAAAACAGGCAGTATAAAACGTCGTTTACCTAAACTTTAGGGAAAAAATTTTTTAAAGTAATTTCGATGTCTTATTTTTTCTTTTCACATTTGAAGGAGTTTTCTTTTTTCTTTCAAAATCCGTTAGAAAACGGACCAATTAAATTGTTATAAAAAATATTTTTCACGGTGAAGACAATCCACATAAAAATTTTTGGCCAAAAAAAGTGGGGTTTTTGAGTAATTAAAATTCTTTTTTATTAAAATGGCCTCCATTTTGTTATTTTTGAACATTTTTTAATTTTTCCAACGGATTTTGAAAGAAAAATGAAAGCTCTTTCAAATGCAAAAAGAAAAAATGAGACATCTAAATTACTTGAAAAGTTATAACACTTTAAAGATTTTTTACCCTAAATTTTAGATAAATGAAATTTTAGCCCGTCTGATTTGTAATGAATTTGGTCTAAAATACTTTTATTGATAAAATAAAATTTTATTTCACAAAGTGTGAAAAAAAAATGATTAACTGTTCATTTATTTTGAAAATCTTATCAAGCCGCTGTGTTTTTTTTTTTTGGTCGAGAAAAAACTTTTTATCCTTGATAAAGTTGAATTCGACCTCGAAATAACTGTTTGGAAATCTCAGTAAAACTTAGATATGAAATTAAGAAACGTGGGATTAACAATAACAATGGTCAAAATAATAAAACTGCCTTACCTTGAAAGCTTCTCGAAACTTGTTGGACATAATGTTGTAAAGTAGAGGATTAATGGTAGTTGATAAATAGTAAAAAATTCCAGACATATAGGTAAGCGTTGTATAAACAGTTATTAAAATAGGATGAGGATTTTTCGCTTCTGTTCCATAAACAGCGATGAGTCTTTGTGCATGAAAAGGTGCCCAACAAATGAAGAAAGCCACTACAACTGCAACTGAAATAAAAGAGAAGATTCTCTTTAAAAGTCAATTCTAATAGAAAGAGTACACGTTTTTATAGGCACTTCACTAGTACTTCCTATACCACTATACTTTTTTCTTCTGTACATTAGACAAATTTTAATGTGAATAAAGTATACTGTTTTTTTCCCCCTATTTCGTGCAAAATGTTTCACTATTAATTTTATCATCTAAATTATTTTCATTTATAACTAATTGAGGAAATTGACTAAATTGTATTTGATTCTTGTTTATTTCTTTGTATTATTTTTCAATATAAGGGCATTTCACGTGACATTTTTATTCAAAAAATTTTTTTTTTAATTGGAAAATTTTTTTTTTGAATTCTATATGAAAAATAATGAAATAATTCTTTTTTTTATTTTCATTAAACGATATTTGCAATTATTTAGGTCGTTACATAGAGTTTAGATTATGTATTTTAGAAATGAAACCACTTCAATTTCCAATTCTTTGGTAAGTCATTTCTTTTGTCTTGTAATTAACCCCTTTGCAGTCTAGTAGGAAAATCGTTTGTGGGCCTAAAACGGTCAAAAAAAAAGTTTTCAAAAAAATATCATATCATCGTATTAAAAGTTTTTGGGGTCGCTGAATCCAAATTTAAGATCAGATTTAAAAACTTCAAAATGTCCAACCCAATATGGCGGAAAAATTTAAAGTTGATTCGATTCGTTCAAAATTTGGTCGCTGAATCCAAATTCGAGGTCAGATTTTAAAAAATCAAAATGGCGGACCCAACATGGCCACCCAATATGGCGGAAAAATTTAAAATTAATTCGATTCGTTCAAAATTCAGTACTTGGGGGTTTCTTAGGTTGCTAAATCCATATTTGAGGTCAAATTTGGATTCAGCGACCCCAAAAAACAATTTTTGAACGAATCGAATCAATTTTTTAATTTTTCCGCCATATTGGGTGTGCCATTTTGAATTTTTTAAATCTGACCTCAAATTTGGATTCAGCGACCCCAATAATCTTAAGGGAACCTTTTTTATGCAAATCTAGTCAATTTTTACATTTTTATGGACGCCATATTGGGTCCGCCATTTTGAATTTTTTAAATCTGACCTCAAATTCGGATTCAGCGACCCCGAAAACTAAGTTGATAAAAAATTCTTTGATATTGTATTACATATATAATAGTTAAACCAATTGAAATTTTTTTATTTTTTTTTTATTTCAGTACTTTTTCTCGCATTTGAAAAAAAACAGACTTAAAAATCATACCAAATTTGTTTTTTATTCCTTATGACTCCTATAACAGAAATTCACTTGAATTTTTGATTTTTGTCAATTTGGTTAATAATGACAAGCTGTCCCCATTTACCCTGAGTTTTCAAATTTTTGGGGTAAATGGGGATAGCTTGTTATTATTAACGAAATTGACAAAAATCAAAAATTCAAGTGAATTTCTGTTATAGGAGTCATAAGGAATAAAAAACAAATTTGGTATGATTTTTAAGTCTGTTTTTTTTTCAAATGCGAGACAAAATACTGAAACAGTTTGACTTTGATTTTCAAGTTTTTATGCATTGAGCGATAACTTTTTTTATCTTGTTGCCAATTGTCAAGATAAAAGCTTGGCAATACTCAAAACCTCTTGCAGGTGATCTGAAGTTAAAATATTGACGTTGAACTTAATTTTAAAACTTCAGTAAATTAAGCTCCAAAACCTCTTGTCCCCATTTACCCCAAGTGACCCTATTTCATTATTTTTCATATAGAATTCGAAAAAAAATGTTCCAATTAAAAAAAAATTTTGAATGAAAATGTTACGTGAAATGCCCCATATATCGATAAATATTGTCTACATTAGAGTTTATTGACTTATACTTCTATTTTCGACCTGATATTAATCTGAAAATAAAATTGAAATTCCCAAAACAAATTTTTTTTACGATATTTCACAATTTGAATTACATTAAATATATTATAATGTTTCTTGAATACAGAAATCGATGTGGATATTTTTCGATTATATTAAAATTTTATATTTTTATAACTTTTCTATTCGTTTCTTGAAACTTTTTTAAATTGCTTTAATTAAATTAAACGTGTTCTTATTCAATTTTGTTTGGAAAAATGTAGTTCTTCTCTCGTTTTGCCATAAAATTGGAATTTATATAGAAAATTAAAAAATAAAATATTTATATTCAATACTATTTTATTTATTATGTTTTTGTTAAATTGAATTTAATTATTATTAATAAAAATAATTAATAATAGAAAGCTATTGATAAATAATAAAAAAAAGTCAATAAAAAGTGCATGCATCTTTTTTTCTCTTTCTTTAAGTCGAACGATAACATTTACTTCCATTAACCTTTACAAAGTCACTTTTATTACACTCTACTAAGGAAATGAACTTTTATTGCTCACTTTTTTATTCACCTATATATATATATATATATATGATATTTCTTACTTTGTCAAAAACGTAAAACAAAATGAAAATTATATTTAAATAGTAAATTTTTTTTTTTATTATTTTTTAGAAATTTTTCAAGAATATATAAATGAAAACAATTTTTTTCCTCCTACTCGTGTTTTATAAAAAAAAATGAGGTCCATTAGGGAAAAAGAATGGACTTTTTACTTTTTTTTCGAAACTTTTTCTGACGGATTGAGAAATTTAAAAAAAAATAGATTGCATGAATACAAAATTTTTACATAGTTTTCTTTATAGGAAGATATATATATATTTTACATGTGGAGAATATACTGTCGAATTTAAACCAACACCGGAAATAAAATTCCTTTTTGTTTTATGTGTTGGGAATTGTAGTATATACGTGGTACATTTAATGGGCTCTCTTATCAAACTCATAAATTTTTTTTCAAATATCCTCTTATTTTTTTTTTTTTTTTGAATTTATTTGCAGTTATCTGACACTTATTATGACGTCAATAATCGAGATATTAGAAAATATATTCCATAAGCCGCGTATGTGAAATTTCAAAAAAATTTTATAGAATTTATTTTATACGTTGGATGTTTCACGTCAACCGGACCATAGCTTTGCACAAAATTCTAATTAATAAAAATAAACATGCAATACATCAACATACTCGTAAACAAATATTCTTTTATTTTCTAAAAATGATGCATTTTGAGTAATGACAAATTGTAATGTTTTTTGGGTCGCTGATTACGAATCAGAAGTTAGATTTTCAAAATTTTCAAAATTCAAAATGGTGGATTCAATATAGCGGACGAATTTTGAAAAATTTATTTGAATTCCCTTGAAACTTGTTTCTCAGGAGTTTTTGAGGTCGTTGATTATGAATCTGAAGTCAGATTTTCAAAATTCAAAATGGCCGATCCTATATGTCGGTCAAATTTTTTGATAATTGGTTATTTTCTTTTTTAGAAATTTCCTTAAAGATTGGTGGATTTTCTTGAAATTTTTTTCTTGTGGGTTTTTAGAGATACTGAGTACAAATATGTCATCAGATTTTCAAAATTCAAAATGGTGGACCCAAAATGGCAAACGACTTTTTAAAAATCGAATTCAATTCGCTAGATAATTGTTATTCAGCGGTCCCAATAAAAACATAAAGAAGCAAATTTTATAAAAATTCATCGATTTTAAAGGAAATTTCAAAAAAAATAACTAATTTTCAAAAAATTTGACAGCCATATTGGATCCGACATTTTGAATTTCAAAAATCCGACTTTAGATTCGTAATCATCGACCCCAAAAACCCTCAAGTAATAAGTTTCAAGCGAATTCAATAAATTTTTTAAAAGTCGCTCGCCATATTGAGTTCGCCATTTTGAATTTTGAAAATCGGACTTCAGATTCGTTATCAGCCACCCAAAAAACCTCTCAGTAATAAGTTTCAAGTGAATTCAAAAATTTTTTTTAAATTTAGGGTGACTAACACTCAGAAAAACTCTCCAGATCAGGGAAAAGTCTTGGAAAAGTCCTGGAATTTTAAAAGGAATTGTAAAAAATAGAGCAATAACGGCGCCTATTTGATTTTTGCTCTAGTTTTTCGTAAAAAAAGAGCAGATGTTAAAATGGCGCCAAATCACAACGGCCTTATTTTAATTTCTGCTATAAATTTTTTTTTGTAGAAATAGAGCAAAAACAGCTCCAGTTTTTTTTTGTAGAAATAAAGAAAAAACAATGTCATTTTAATTCCTGCTGTAGTTTTTCGTAAAAGTAGGACAAAAAATAAAATGGTGCCATTTTTGCTTTATTTCTACAAAATAACTAAAACATAAATTAAAATGACGTTGTTTCTGCTCTCTTTTTCCGTAAAACTAGAGCAGACATTAAAAAAGCGTCAAATTGCGCTGTTTTTGATCTATTTTTTAGTAAAACTAGAGGAAAAATTAAAATATCGTCAAATTAAAACGGTGCCATTTTAATTTCTGCTGTAGTTTTTTGTAAAAATAGGACAGAAATTAAAATGACGCCGTTTTTACTCTGTTTTTTTTTAAGTGAAACTAGTGGAGAAATTGAATTGGCGGTGTTTTTGCTATATTTTTTCGAAAAACTAGAGCTGAAATTAAAATGGCGTCAAATTACAACCATTTTAATTTCTGCTCTAGTTTTACGGAAAAATAAATCATTACATCATATATTAAATAATATGTCACGGAAATATTTTAAGGGTGTTATTGAAAAGTCAGGAAATTGTTCTTTCGTAATTTGTTAGACACCCTGAAATTCGTCAGCCATATTGGATCCACCATTTTGAGTTTTGAAAATCTGACTTTATAGATTCGTAATAAGCGACCCAAAAAAAAAAATCTCATTACCTAATATTTATGCATCATTTTTAGAAAGAAATTAATATATTTATATTCGCTTATTCACAAATATATACAGCATATATAAAACAGTATCATAAAGACGCCATTTTGAATTTTTAATTCTGCAACATTTTTATTAAAAGATTAGAATTTTGGGTAGAGTTCTAGGCCGGTAGACGTAAAACGTTCCATGTTTATATTTATAAAGTCA